TCCCGCCTGGGCTCTGTCTCCCTGCAGCCCACTACGACAAGTGCGTGATAAACCTGCGGGAGCAGCTGAAGCCGGACATGGCGCAGGTGCTGCACTGCATCTTCTCCCACGCGCAGGTGGCCAAGAAGAACCAGCTGGTGATCATGCTGATTGTAAGCGGGGCAGGGCGCCCCACCCGGGCAGGGCAGCTGGGTCTGCGGGCATTTTCCGGGAAGGGCCAGAGAGGAAATATTTTAGATTTTGCAGGTCATATGGTCTCAGGCCGGACCGCCCAAAGCTGCCTTTGTACCCTGTAAGCGAATGTGTGTGGCTGTGTCCCGATAAACGTTGTCAGCCCCTGGGGGTGGGAGGAGGGGCTCATAACCAACACCTGCTGTGTGCCAGGCACTCCTGGCATGATGGGGGTGAGGCATATTGCTTCTCTGACCTCAGTTTCCTCATCTGTAAACTGGGGATCATGATGGCAGCTCCTCAGAGAGTTGGGAGAATTTGGGGAGATGAATATCAAGGGCCTAACTGCCTGCCTGGCCATAGGAAGCACCCCATCACTGTTGGCCTTTGGTAGTGATGCAGGCACAGACTCAGATGTATTTTTTTTCTTACCGGGGGAGTTAGGGTGTGTTTGGGTGGATGAATGAATGGATAGGGTGATGGCGGAAAGGGGAGGGGATGTGCCTCCGGCTGTGCCAGGTGTCTGCAGAGGCCGAGCAGCTGTCTGGTTTGCCGGGGCAGCCACACCCTGGCTGAGGATGGTGCCGGCATGGCATGTTTCCTTCTGCCGGACAAAAGCTGCTTCGATTCTGTTTCCTCCCCCAAAGGATGAACTCTGTGGCCCAGACCCTTCCCTGTCGGAGGAGCTGACCGCCATCCTCAGTGAGCTCACACAGCTGAGCAAGACCGAGCACTGCAAAGTGGCCCTCAGAGCCAGACAGGTAGGGCTGACGGGGCGCCGTCCTCCCGCCGTGCTCCGTCCCCACCGTGCACAGCCCCTTGCTGCCGCCCACATCCAGCCCCATGGGCCCGGCCCCTGGCTTCTCCCCTGTGAGGGTGGCTCACCCCGGCCCCTCCCTCCCCTCCCCACAGGTCCTGATCGCCTCCCACCTCCCCTCCTACGAGCTGAGGCACAACCAGGTGGAGTCCATTTTCTTGTCGGCCATCGACAGGTACGGCCACCAGTTCTGCCCGGAAAACCTCAAGGTGAGGCTGTCCCCATCCCTCCACCTTCCACAGGGCAAGGCTGTGGCCCAGGTGGGGCCTGGGGGGAGGTGGGTTCCCTGGCCCTCGGTGCAAGGCACAGTCACAGATGCCAGCAGCTTAGTCCAGTGAGGCCGGGGCTGCCCAAGGGGGCTTCGGGGGCGGGGGGAAAGTCAGGCAGCAGGGCTTGCCCAGGAAGGAGGCGATGGAGCTTGCGAAGCTGCCAGCTTCACATGGCTGAGTCTCGGCTTCATCTTCCCGGGGCTCCCCTGCCCCCTACTCTGCTCATCTATAAGCTTCCAGGTGGGCCCTCTGTGTCTGGGAGCCCCGTGCAGTCAGCTCAGAGCTGCCCCGCATTCAGATTTTACGGGCCTGGGGCACTGGCTGCACTTGGCGATAACACCACCGGCTTCTCCCCCTTGCTCCCACCCC